GAGCACTGTACGTTGGGCTGCCAACCTGTAGTGTTCAGATACCAGTCTGTTCCTTGGTATTATCTGTCTATCTGCATCACCAATCTTCATTGGTTTCCTGGAAGTCACTGGTATCCCATAAGTATGTGCTGATACAGTCTGTAGAGTACTGCAAATGCACTGAAAACATCAGCCAGGTCCGTCATCCTACGGACATTTAACCCTTGTCCCAGGATGTCGTTGAGCTCGTACTGGTGGGTCGACAATGGCAATCAACTCACTGCCTACTTATGGAAGGATTCCAGTCATTCTCGTCACATTTATTCCACAGCCAGTGTGATGTTTTCTCCATTTGTTGCGCAATGCCATGGAGTCCTAGAAACCTCTACATCAGACCTCTACTGGAAACAGCCAAGTAATAAGAGGCCGCTGGTCGGCCTTTTTTCTATCGGATATGATTTTGCCGACTGGGGGGTCTGTCAAAAATGTCTCGCCGTATAAACCTCTAACACTGTTGGAGTACCCTCACTCCCTGTACTGCTTCATAAGCTTTGCATAGTTGGCACTCTTTCTCTCATAGGCCTGGTAGCATCACCGCTCCTAGGTCAAAGTCATACCAATGACTACAATCTGTTCGAATTCGGCAATCCATATTACCACGAAACACAGTGCTGTCTTCTCGACGTCCAGAAACACCAGGTTTGCTCATCTACCATGCCTGTGCCCCTTCTATACAGCTGGTGTTGCTCTACTCTCCTCCCAAACTAGCTTCAGACAGAACATACTGGCCCACATAGCACACTAACAATACAATAGGAAACAGACTTCCAGTAGAATGTAACAAACAGAACCGCATCAATAACAAACTATTATATAAATGTTGGATACAAAAGTTTAATGAACATTTCGTTTGAAGTCCATTTAAGGCCATGACAAGAAAATGTATATTGATACAATTTCACTGCACTGGTATCAAAAATCAACATGTGATACAGATAGTAATAAAATTAAAATTAAAACAGTTATGGTACAATGTACCTACAGGTTATAGTGATTTGTTCTTTGTAGCATCAACACACAGTTTTTTAACTGATCAATTCATTATTTTTTAAAACACTATACATTTTTTGATTTAATAATATCATGATATTTTCACTTTTACACTTAACTACAGTCAAGTCAAATTGTGTCAAAGGTTTGTTACATCACAAAGTGAAAGTTTAGCCAGTGATAGAGCGTAAAGAAAAAACACAAATTCAAAAGGAAAAGGTATCTACAACAATACCCAGGTGGCATACATTTCATTATAACTGTTTTAAAATATGTATGACAGCTACATTATGACAGCAGAAACATAATGAAAATTGAAGGTACATATTGTTAGTTTACTCAATCAATCAATCAAAACAAAGCTGTCCAAGTAAAAAATACCTTTGTGATATGTCACTGAAATTATATCATACCTTAATTGAAATTGAATAAAAATTGATAAATAAAATAATTTATACAACAGATACCAATTAAATTTGGTCTCCATAGAAAGATATGCATGTCACAAAAAGGCAAGATCACACTTTTAACAGGGTATGTCTCTAAGGAACAAATACAATTCCAATGGGTTTCATATTACATGCAGTTGAAATTTAAAACACATGAAAAACAATGCATTTACATAAAATATAAAAAAAAAATCATGGGGAATTGTGAGATACAGTCATCTGTTACTTGATCCTTTTTGTAAACATTTTTGATCTTATATGGTTCAAACTACCTATATGTAAACCAAATAATTCAGGAAAAATTACAAGTCTTACAAGATCCAATCTGTAGCTCAACTTGATCAATAATTTAGGACGGAATTACATGTGTGACAAGGTCCAACTGTATCTGTTCTAACAAATAACTTAGGACGGATTACATATTATCTAAGAAGGTCTAAACTGTACCTCAATCAAAACAATATTTTAAGAGTGAACACATGACTTAATGGTCCAAACTGTGCCTCAAACCTAACCAATTACTTAGGACGGATTATATGTCTTACTAGGTCTAAAATGTACCTCGGCAAGACCAATAATTTGGGACGGAATTACTGCCTTATGTGGTCCAAAATGTACCTCAACTAAACAAATAATTTAGGCTGGATGACAAGTTTCAATTTTTAAGTAAATAATTTAGAACAGAATCTCATGTCTTTCAATGTCTCTTCCTTTTCTTAATAAACAATTTAAAACAAACTGTATGCCTTACAAAATCCAAAATGGAAAATATAAAAAAGAAAAGTAAGAATGGATGAAATTACATGCGTTATCTTGTCCAAATTGTACATTAGGCAGTTTGCATGTCTTACAAGTTACCAAAACTTAACTTAATCAAACCACTAATTTACAGCGAAACAAATGCATTTACAAGGTCCAAAGAGTACCTTAACTAATCTATTTGTGTTAGACATATAACAAAGAGAGGGAATCATGTCCAGGCATGATGCCATTAGATAAACCTGATTTGATAAAAATTTAGGCTACATATATATCTTGCAGACATATCTTGTAAAATTCAATAATACATGTATACATAAAAACTTCAAAGACAATAGATAAACATGTATAAAGCACTTAAAATCAAAGATACTGTTGAAAAATACAGCAGTACTGGAAGCTACCTTTTGAATAAATAATGATTAACACTACAAAGCTTTAGATGCTGGGACTAGCTACATGCTTTAAGGAATTGGAGTAACATTTTAAAAGGGTTGGGATAATAATTTCTCTTACCCTGGACAGGTGTATACACACTTTTACCGGTGTGAGATATCTTTTTCTTGCATAATAGACCGAGATATCCGTATTTCCGGCTGTGTTGGAAAATTCTATCCGACCGACGGGTCGGTTAAAAATACTCTCCTACCTTAAGAACAGCCTATCATGTGTACACTTGCTTCACATTATCACTCCCAAATAGATATAGATAGCATTAGAACAACTTCATCATATTTCACGGAATTAGTGTATTGATTACAATATAAATTGTGTTGAGCATTGTAAGGAAAGCCAGAAACTGTTAACTATAAAAATTCTTCATTCCATGAGCAAGTTACGACATGTCAATATATTTACAAATATTTCATGATATGTACAGTCAAAAATATCACAGTTGCGCATTGTTTGTTCCCACATTTTTTAATCCTCAAGTGTAAAGCAACTTTAATACACTGGTAATCCGATCAATAATATCTACAAATGATTAAACCAATGATCAATGTCATTCAGGCTATAGCATTACACACGTTGCATTATTCAGGTTGTGAATAAAAATACAAAACCTCATAAAGATATTTCTCAAAACTTAAAAATCAACTAAAAAACGTCATGTTTCAAAATGCACAAATAACATCATTTCTGTAATCTGCTTATAAGAAACACCTGTCTGTCACAAATAATCTTGGTATTCAAAAAAAGCTTCAGAGGTATTGCACTCAAAATTATTCAGAAATAACACTGATTAAGCGTTTTATAGTAAGTAATGAACTATACATTTTGGCTTAATGCATATTTGTGCAAAATATAATTACATACAGAAAATTGAACAATCATAGATCCTGATTATGGTATACAATGGTTCATGGGTCAAAGTAACAAACTCAACAGGAATAAGTTGTAGATATTTTAGTGTCATTTTATGCTATGGTGTCACAATTTCGTCTTTGATGTCTTTTTTCCCCCCTTTGTGTTTCTATTCAAATTTTTGGGAAGTAAATATGGCAACAAGTGATGAGCAATATTTTACAGAAAATGAAAAATTCATTTAAAAAACCCTTGTAGGTAAGTTATTAATGCATAAAATCTCATTTATTGTTGGAATGGATATATTTCACTCGGGCAATACACTCATGATATCTCAGACATCAGATGAACATGTGTGGTATTGTCTATGTAAATTGATGAGGTAAATACTCATATTGATTACGACATAGTTATATACACACTATCTCTGCTGAAATACATCGTAAACATTGTAAGTTGTTTTAATATCAAAGAACGCTTCGGTGAAACTCCATAAACAAATCCAACCACATAGAGGTAAATTATATCTCTGTTCCATTAAGTCATGGAAAAATATTGTTGCAGAAATAAATAACCAATATTGTTCAAGCCAACATATTCTAAAGCATGAAACACGATTTGGTCTACTCACATTACAATTGATTTGATCATAAAATTTCTGGTAAAGATGTCATAGCAATATAAATATATTTAACGGGCCTGAACTAGAGATGTATATATTACATATAATATATACCGTGTAGGCCTGTACCAGAGATGTATATATTACATATAATATATACCGTGTAGGCCTGAACCAGAGAGGTATATATTACATATAATATATACTGTGAAGGCCTGACCAGAGATGTATATATTACATATAATATATAATATATACTGTGTAGGCCTGAACCAGAGATGTATATATTACATATAATATAAACTGTGTAGGCCTGAACCAGAGATGCATATATTACATATAATACATACCGTGTAGTCCTGAACCAGAGATGTATATATTCCATATATTATATAGTGTGTAGGCCTGAACCAGAGATGTATATATTACATATAATATATACTGTGTAGGCCTGAACCAGAGATGCATATATTACATATAATACATACCGTGTAGTCCTGAACCAGAGATGTATATATTACATATAATATATACCGTGTAGGCCTGAACCAGACATGTTCCACGTTTTTGATATCTCTTGTTGACTCACTTTATGTGATAGTGCATCTTGCGCAAGAATAGGTCCTCTACATCAGCGTTCCTTGTTCGCGATGCTCTCAGCTTAATTGCTGCCTTCGGCTGTCTTTAGCCGAGGGGACTATTGGTTTTATATAATAGCTATATTTTCAATTATAGTATATCAGTTCTATCTTCTTGTAATATGATGTATATGTACATGTAACTGTTCTGTTTCACTGTGTCTTGAAAAAGGAGCGGATCGCTCCGAAAATTTGACAACCTTTTATAAACTTAAACACACTGTTGGAATTACTTCTTTGCCCCATATGACATATAATGTATACGTCTCTGCCTGAACTGACTGTGCACAAGACATTGTTGGAATGTTTTGCATATTTCCATGAACCAAGTTGAAATAAAATGTCAACTTCTTTATCATTCACACTCTTACAATATAACAGAATCCATGGCTGATTTTTTTATATTTGCCCTTAGTCTTAAAAAGAATACACTTATGGCAGACCTCGATTCCGACCTCTACAGTTTTCAGTCTGCATCAGCTATGAAGGAGGGTGTTTTAAAATCCAAACTGTATTAACATTATATGATTTATTTTAAATGATGAAAAAGTGACAGGCTTGAAGTTACATAATCAACTCGAAGAAATTCATGTATAATGGCCTAGCAAGATTTATTAGTTTAATGATTGTCTTATTTTAATCTATATCCTATTGATAATTATCAGTAACCATGTACAAAGAATAGTTAACAGACATCAGGTTTCTTTTTTTTGCAAAATTTTCCAATATTATGCAAAAATAATAATATTGAATTCCCCCCGATTAGCTTGAGGAGCGTGCATTTGACTGAGTGACCACTATGAAGAGAATACATGTATCTATAATAAGGTCACAGCCTGATTTACAAAACAAAATTGTCATTATAAATTCTGAAATATTACAAATAATATCAGAATTGATAATACATATTTATTACTGTAATGTTATTAGTGTTTTCTTGTCATGATAATTTCATAATTATTTTTTTGCTTTTTACACAATTTACCCAATTTTCAAAATTATGATTTCTTTCATAAGAAATCCACTTTCATCATAATAATAGTACACACAGATTTGGAAATACAACTAAGGCTTTACCAGTAAGTATATCAAACAGAATGTAGAAAATATTGTTCATGAATAAGATAATCAATTAAACATAAATAGGTGAATATTACCACAAATTCGTCAACACTTCCCACTATCAGGTAGTGCACTTTCCAGCAGTATCACAGTGATCAGTCCACACAGTTCTGTTTTCCTGCCACTTTCTATAGGTCATTAAGCACATTATACTGTACGTTGACGGGTTTTCACTGTATTCCTTTTAGAATGCTGCATCCAGTTTCTCTACAACTTTCTTTAGATAAAACAGGTGGGCCCCATGGAGCTGAAGGGATGAGGCGGCTGTGCTCCATGATGCAGATTCTACTGTCTCACCAGCCTGTAACACAGATATGCAAAAAACATATCATGAATATGTAAACAATCATGGAATCTGTCAATACTCTAAAACATGTGTAATTTATGTGTGATGTTTCATTCCAAATATGGTTGCAATCCATACAAATGTTTAAGAGAAGTAGAGTTATGAAGAGGAAATTGTCCTATTTTGTGATTTATTTGGCCCGACTTATACTCTGCCCCTCCAGTCCCAGTGACTGAACCAACTTTATTTATCTAAAATATGATACGGTAACAATCAGTGAAGTCCTTCAGGAGGGGCAGGCTTCAAATCTACCTGGTAGGATTAAATTCCCCATCCTATGAAATTACATGCAGCCTTCTATTATGCAATACTCAATTTCTTTTGCTGATTGTAAATGCTAAATCTTGTTAAAATCTACCAATCCCTCCATCAGTATTAAGTCTTATTGCTCGGTCATGCCCCTGACTCTTCCTTTAAACAAGATTGGATAAGCCAGTCCTAAGGATGATACATATCAGAACTCTTATCAATCATACAGTAATTGATATCAAAGTTTTACTATATACACAAACAATGTAAGTATAAGACACGTACAAAAAAAAATGTAGCAACATTTCAAGACCAACTGGTCCCATTGGTCAAGCTATGAAAATGGAACCAGTTGGTCAAGCTATGAAAATGGAACCAGTTGGTCAAGCTATGAAAATGGAACCAGTTGGTCTTGAAATGTTGTGACACGTTTAATTCATACATTGTTTGTGCATAAAGTAAAACTTTGATATCAAATATTTCCAAACTGATGAGTCTTATTGAAATTTAAAGTAGAATTAATGTTTTAAAGGTAAAGGTTGCAAATGACATACAGACAACTGAGCTGTTCCATGGCAGTCCTTTTGATTTGACAAAAGTTACAAAAATATATATATAAAGAAAATTAGAGGACATACTACCTATTTATATATATATATCTTAGTTACATTTTCAAGAGTAGAAACGAGTATCTTGAGGCTTACCCTGAGGACAAAGTTATTGAGAATGGATCCGTCGTTATCATGGTAATGAAAGACCAAGGTTTCCAGCCAAGCGTTGTCGGTGTTCCTAGGATCATCAGCATACCCTCGCCACACCTGAGCAATAAATGAAGCCATTTCATCAATACTCACAACAGAATGTAGACTGTTTTCAGATGATCATTTTTTGCAATTTTCTATATCCTCTGCCGACTTTGTAGAGCAGGGGATAATAACAAAGTGTATCTGTATGTAAACATCATTCACAATAGCATGGGATACTTACCTCTTTGCCAATTTTAAACATCTTATCCAACTTTGTATTAAGCTCTTTTTTATGATCCTCATTATTTATGAGGGAGCCAAGAGCTTCTTCCGAGAATTCAGCTCTCAGGCATTCATGTATCTGCTGGCCAGGTTCACACATACCCTGAAACAATAAGCATTAAAGCTTTGATAAAATGATCATTCTTGTACACTGTTATACAATCATGCTATAGAGGACATAAAAGGACCACTAATAATGTTAAAGGGAGGAGGTATAAGGTTAGTACCACTAATAATGTTAAAGGGAGGAGGTATAAGGACCAACAATACTGTTATAGGTAGGAGGTATAAGGACCAACGATACTGTTATAGGGAGGAGGTATAAGGACATACAATATTGTTATAGGGAGGAGGTATAAGGACCAACAATACTGTTAAAGGGAGGAGGTATAAGGACCAACAATACTGTAATAGGGAGGAGGTATAAGGACCAAAGGACAAACAATACTGTAATAGGGAGGAGGTATAAGGACCAACAATACTGTTATAGGGAGGAGGTATAAGGACCAACGATACTGTTATAGGGAGGAGGTATAAGGA